CAAATCAGGAATTATTTTATTCCTGGCCAGGGGTTGTGTGCATGGCTGACAAAATTCTGGCCTCCACACAGACCCTGATCCAAAATGTTATTACTTGATTAGACAGTAATATTTATTAGTTTAGATTAGATTTATTAGATTAGATTAGACAGTTTATATTTATATTAAATGGTATAAAATATAAATATTTATTTATAGGAATATATTTATATATCTATATCTATATTTATTAAAATATTTATATTTATATATCTATTATAGAAAATATATTTATATAAAAGTATTTTAATTTTTATACTTATTTATACAGAAAAATAAAGGAATGTTCATTGCTTCTAAATGACATCATAACACCACGTTTGTGGTTTGATCCCCACCACTTAATAATCATCAGCACTGATCTTCAGGGGTCCCTTCCAACTCAGAATATTCCATGATTCTCTGCTAATTCTCTTATATTAATTAGTATTCTATCCTCTATTGGTTATTAATTTTTCTTTTCCTGCTAATTGGATCATATTTTTAATCTTTTTAAGACTAAAAAAAAATTTTTCTCTTCCTTAGCAGGGACTCTCCAATGCTTAAACTGAATCTTTTTTAGTTTCTTTTTCTTCTGGTTTCTCCAAAGTCTCCTTGTGGTCCATAAATTCTGCTTTCCAGATGTCCAGCCTCAATCCATCTTCCTCTCCCTGGCTTTGTTCACTGGGTTGTATCAGAGTTAGTTTATCAAAACTTAAAATTCCAGTAATTTTCCCCAGATGTGCTCCTGCAAAAGTAGCGCATGACAACCTTGTTCCATGCTGGCTGGGAGTAATTGAAGAGTAACACAATATTTATAATTAATACCTATATTAGTTGGGATTAATTAATTAAAACAAGTCATTTAAGAGTTAAACCATTAACTGAAATTATGCAGGGAGTGGATGCCAGAGCTTCCTCCTGGCTAGGGCTGTCTGAGGGACAACAACCCCATTTTGCTGAATTTTCTGAATTCCCAGGGTTGTTTTAATTCAGAATTGTATTGAAAACAAAGATTTTGGGGTGTTTTTATGGTGACAGAGCCATGCCAGGCTCCCAGTTTCAGCTGAAATCTGAGCCAGGCAGGAGGGGAAGGGAAAGCCTGGTGTCCCTGGGCTGGGCTGGATGTCCCCAGGGTGGGTGATGTCCCCTCTGTGCTGGATCCAGTGGTGCCACCGGATCAAAAACTGCCTCGGATCCATGGAACAAACCCTGCAGTTCCTCTGGGGGACAGGATCTGCTTTCTGTCAGGGTTTATCCCACACATCAGGGCCTAAACCCCTTCCTGGCTGGCACAACAACGCCACTGCTCAGACTGCAGATTTTGTCTTTCTTTGGGCCTTATTGAATTTCCCAAGTTCTTCCCAGCTCTGGCAGATACCCAGGGATGCAATCACCCCCTGGGACATCCCTAAGTGCACACAGAGAAGACAGAAACAGTCTGGTGCCTGCCTGCCATAAATCTGAGAGGATTCAATGTCCTAAGCCACAAAAGCAAATAATA